GGTGCCTCCCCAGCCCTACAGGTGATGGGCGTGGCTATGAAAATCAGCCCTAGTGATGGGGCCGTGGCGCTATGAAAATCAGCCCTAGTGACAGGGCGTGGCTATGAAAATCAGCCCCTAGTGACGGGCGTGGCTGCGCAGCGCATCTGCACGGACCCCATGGCGTGTGTCGAGGAGCGGGAAAAACACAGAGCCAGCCCTCTCTATGCCCGCACCCGTGAGAGCTCTATGTATCACGGAGAGATCGGGGCCAGTGGTTCTAAAGGAAACAGAGTCGCAAGACATTAGGATGGATTCGGGGTTTGGGAGGTTGTATGATGTTCCAGAAGAAGACGATTACTCTGTTTGAATCAATGGAGATGGTTTGTACGTCCTTAAAAAAAATAACACATCCCCTGAAATAAGCCCTGGGGAGTCTTCTTGAGGAAAAATAGTAGAAGACCCTGTCTTATTTCAGGAAACCATGGTAGGATTCAATTGTTGACTAGGTGAAACTCAGCTGACGTTTGGTTTCTTTTTCTTTCTTCTTTTTTTTTCGAGACAGAGTCTTATCTTGTGTCACCCCACTGAGTGCGTGGCGTCAAGCCTAGCTCACAGCAACTCAAACTCCATGGGCTCAACGCGATCCTCCTGCCTCAAGCCTCCGAGTAGCTGGGACTACAGCGATGACCACCATGCCGGCTCATTTTCTTCTATCTATTTTAGTTGGCCAATTAAACTTCTTTCTATTTTTTATAGAGACGAGATTTCCGCGTTTGCTCGGCTGGATTCGGAACTCCCTGACCTTGAAGGATGATCCGCCCGCCGCACTCGGCCTCCCAGAGTGCTGGGATGACAGGCGTGAGCCACCTCGCCTGGCCTGGCGTTTAGTTTCTTACAAACCCTGTTGCACCTCCGTTATTTTGTAGGTGCTACTGGCATTGAAGACCGCCTGCAGGAAGGAGTCCCCGAGTCCATCGAAGCCCTCCACCAAGCCGGCATCAAGATCTGGATGCTGACGGGGGACAAGCAGGAGACGGCTGTCAACATAGCCTATGCGTGCAAACTGCTAGAGCCCGAGGACAAGCTCTTCATTCTCAACACCCAGAGTAAAGTACGTGCCATAAAAGACTAAACCAGTCCTTCTGTTTTTCCAAAGGAGCCGATAAGCAATATGCACAGATGCAAACAATTGCAAACAATATGCAAACCTACTTGCTCTCTTTGTTCTCCTAGTGTCCTTCTCTCTAAATTGAAAGGGCGTGTGATTCAATTATTTGCGTAACCTTACTCTACAATTTTATAATTCTGTGAAAACTCCCAAGGGTGTAAGAGCAGGATTTTAAAGAATGCTCTTGCCAATAAATTGTAATGTTTATCTGCAATGCACTTTCATCATATCCGTCCACGGTTCTCTTTTCTAGGATTTGGTATATATAATGAGTGGGGGAAAAAAAACACCCCAATAACTATTAGCTTCTTGATTTATTCTGTCTGGTGGCTCATCTTGTGCTTGCGAGGTTGCCACTGTTCTTCTGAAGGCTTGGTGGAAAATTGTAATGATTCAGAGGAATCATTGCTGAATGATGGCATTAGGAGGAAGTTTCCTTTTTATTTTTCTGTTTGCTTTTTTCCCCCCTCCACGCTGGATTGCCAGGGATTTGACAAGACGTAGCCCCAAATGAGAAAATATATCAAGTCCTCAGACAGGAATCTACCTCCCTTTCAAAATGAGGAGAAGTGATCATTTCTATTGAAAACAGGTGAATAAATCAATACATTTTTTTTTTTTTTTTTAGTTCATGGTAATTCTAAAAATAGGCACTCAGGATAATCATGCCCTCTAGTGGTAATTCTTAGATAGTGCTCCTGAGAATTCCAAAAGTTTGAAGAACTGTTGGGAAAAATTGTTGTTTTCTTTTTAACAAAGAAGGAATTTTTTGAAGGCATGAAAAAAATTGGAAGGCATGAGAATTGAGTTGTATTAAAAGAAAGAACAATAGTATATTAAAAGAAAAGAAAAGAAAATTAATTTAATAAAAGAAAAAAATGAAAAAAAAAAATAAAGAAGAAGGAATTTAAGAGGCTTAGACCCAGCCCCCACGTTTTGGTTTTTTTTTTTCAGTTTTGCCTCCTGCAAATCTCTAACACTAACATCCTAATCAATTGAATAAGCATTTTTTTTTTCAGTTTTGCCTCCTGCAAATCTCTAACACTAACATCCTAATCAATTGAATAAGCATTTTTTTTTTTTCAGTTTTGCCTCCTGCAAATCTCTAACACTAACATCCTAATCAGTTGAATAAGCATTTTGTTTTTTTCTTAAAAGATGCCTGGTATAATGATGCCCTGCAAGACTTGTG